ACCCCGGACCCTGCATTCACTATATCTGCTCTCCCGGACCCCGCATTCACTATATCTGCTCTCCCCGGACCCCGCATTCACTATATCCGCTCTCCCCGGACCCCGCATTCACTATATCCGCTCTCCCGGACCCTGCATTCACTATATCCGCTCTCCCGGACCCCGCATTCACTATATCCGCTCTCCCCGGACCCCGCATTCACTATATCCGCTCTCCCCGGACCCCGCATTCACTATATCCGCTCTCCCCGGACCCCGCATTCACTATATCTGCTCTCCCCGGACCCCGCATTCACTATATCCGCTCTCCCCGGACCCCGCATTCACTATATCCGCTCTCCCCGGACCCAGCATTCACTATATCCGCTCTCCCCGGACCCCGCATTCACTATATATCTATATCCGCTCTCCCGGACCCCGCATTCACTATATCCGCTCTTCCCGGACCCCGCATTCACTATATCCGCTCTCCCCGGACCCCGCATTCACTATATCCGGTCTCCCCGGACCCCGCATTCACTATATCCGCTCTCCCCGGACCCCGCATTCACTATATCCGCTCTCCCCGGACCCCGCATTCACTATATCCGCTCTCCCCGGACCCCGCATTCACTACATCCGCTCTCCCCGGACCCCGCATTCACTATATCCGCTCTCCCCCGGACCCCGCATTCACTATATCCGCTCTCCCGGACCCCCCATTCACTATATCCGCTCTCCCCGGACCCCGCATTCACTACATCCTCTCTCCCCGGACCCCGCATTCACTATATCCGCTCTCCCCGGACCCCGCATTCACTATATCCGCTCTCCCCGGACCCCCCATTCACTATATCCGCTCTCCCCGGACCCCGCATTCACTATATCCGCTCTCCCCGGACCCCGCATTCACTATATCCGCTCTCCCCGGACCCCGCATTCACTATATCCCGCTCTCCCCGGACCCCGCATTCACTATATCCGCTCTCCCCGGACCCCGCATTCACTATATCCGCTCTCCCCGGACCCCGCATTCACTATATCCGCTCTCCCCGGACCCCGCATTCACTATATCCGCTCTCCCCGGACCCCGCATTCACTATATCCGCTCTCCCCGGACCCCGCATTCACTATATCCGCTCTCCCCGGACCCCGCATTCACTATATCCGCTCTCCCCGGACCCCGCATTCACTATATCCGCTCTCCCCGGACCCCGCATTCACTATATCCGCTCTCCCCGGACCCAGCATTCACTATATCTGTAGAAAACTACAGGAGGGAGCAGAGACCAGACCAATCACTCTGCACAAGGAGAGAGAGCAGAGCTGTGGGAGGGGCCCAGCAGGCCCCACCCACTACAGAAAACTACAGGAGAGGGCGGAGACCAGACCAGTCACCCTGAACAAGGAGAGAGAGCAGAGATGTGGGAGGGGCCCAGTAGGCCCCACCCACTACAGGAGAGGGTGGAGACCAGACCAGTCACCCTGCACAAGGAAGAGAGAGCACAGCTGTGGGAGTGGCCCAGCAGGTTCCACCCACTACAGAAGGGGGGTGGAGACAATTGGCCTTGTGGCTCTTGGATTTTTGTCAGTAGATGTCTGATGCTTGAAGGAGACCAGACGGAGTTCCCAGCACAACTAGAAAACTGACCACGCTGTGCTCCCATGCCTTGTGTGGTCAGTTTTTAATAGGAAAGCAGAGGGACTGGCAGGAACAAAAGGGAAGCAATACAAAGAGAACAGGAGACTTCTTTATACAGGTATGTGGTACAGCCGGCACAGATCAGGAACATGAAATGTTGGCTTTACATAGTCCTTAAAGGGCCAGCCAAAGTGTGAACGTCCCATAAAAATCCCTTCCAGGCCAACACTCCAAAAATAACGTGAATTGTATGATGGCTGAAAACCCGTGACTTCCCCTTTAAGCCGTCAACGTCTTCCGCACTTTTATAAAACTGAATATTTCATGGGGATCAGTTAAATATTTGATGCGACGTGTCGTTGTCTGTTGTGTCGTTTTGCTCGATCAGTCCGGCGTGGTTGTAGGGCGATGTTTGTGGCGCGGAGACTTTTCGGTTCTGCAGTAAAGCAGGATGTGAAGTAGCTGGTTGCACGCCGTTGTGCTTGGGTTGTATTCTGGCCTTTGAAGAGGCGCTGTGGTCTGTGGCGGTGTACAGGAATTCGGCTGTCTGCAGACACCACCCACCACAGGGGCTGCCATGCTGTAGGCAAGATAGGCGGCATTCCTGAGCGGCGTGCCAGCTGGGACTGTTGTTGGTTTGCAGAGCTGTGTGTATATATATATATATAATGCGCAGCATAAATGAGTCCACAATTCTGAAAAAGTACGATTTTAATCAATATCTCAGTGAACACAAAAACAATTTCTAAAATTTTGACAAAACTGAGTTTTCTAGAACATTTGCTCGGCTCATGACATGAAAGGAAGGTCATAATAGAACGTAGATGACAAAATCTTCAGTTTTACTCAAACTAGTTGATGTAAAAAATGAATCCACCCCTGTACTGCCACGGGTGACTGCAGACGGCTTCTACAAACATTGGTGAAGGAATGGGTCGCTCTCAGGAGCTCAGTGACTCCAAGCGTGGTCCCGTGATAGGTGGCCACCTGGGCAATAAGTCCATCCGTGACATTTCCTGGCTACTAAATATTCCACGCTCAACTGTTAGTGGGATTATAACAAAGTGGAAGCAACTGGGAACGACAGCCACTCAGCCACCAAGTGGTAGGCCACGTCACATGACAGGGTGGGGTCAGCGCATGCTGAAGAGCACAGTGCGCAGAAGTCACCAACCGTCTGCAGAGTCAATAGCTAAAGACCTCCAAACTTGGTGTGGCCTTCAGATGAGCCCAACAACAGTGCGTAGAGAGCTTCATGGAATGAGTTTCCATGGCCGAGCAGCTGCATCCAAGCCTTCCATCATCACCAAGTGCAATGCAAAGCATCGGATGCCGTGGTGTAAAGCACGCCGCCACTGGACTCTAGAGCAGGGGAGACATGTTCTCTGGAGTGACCAATCAGGCTTCTGGACATGCTTCTGGACATGTCTGGGTTTGGCAGTTGCCAGGAGAATGGTACTTGCCTGACTGCATTGTGCCAAGTGTAAAGTTTGGTGGAGGGGGGATTATGGTGTGAGGTTGTTTTTCAGGGGTTGGGCTTGGCCCCCTAGTTCCAGTGAAGGGAACTCTTAAGGCGACATTTTGCCCAATTTCATGCTCCCAACTTTGTGGGAAGAGTTTGGGGATGGCCTCTTCCTGTTCCAACATGACTGCGCACCAGTGCACAAAGCAAGGTCTATAAAAACATGGAGGAGCCAGTTTGGGGTGGAGGAACTTGACTGTCCTGCACAGAGTCCTGACCTCAACCCCATAGAACACCTTTGGGATGAATTTAGAGCGGAGACTGCGAGCCAGGCCTCCTCCCCCGACATCAGTGCCTGACCTGACAAATGTGCTTCTGGAAGATTGGTCCAACCTTCCCATAGACACCCTCCTAAACCAGCTCAGGAGCGTGGAAAGGGCGGGCCAACTCAATATTGAACCCTAAGGACTAAGACTGGGGGGTCATTCAAGGTCATGTGTGTGGAAAGGGCGGGGCCAACTCAATATTGAACCCTGCGGGCTAATACTGGGGGGCCATTCAAGGTCATGTGTGTGGAAAGGGCGGGGCCAACTCAATATTGAACCCTGCGGGCTAATACTGGGGGGCCATTCAAGGTCATGTGTGTGGAAAGGGCGGGGCCAACTCAATATTGAACCCTACGGACTAAGACTGGGAGGCCATTCAAGGTCATGTGGCTGGAAAGGCCGGCGGCCTCCAATTCTTGGGGCAATATCGTGTATAACCACTGAATCCCTAGGATATCATATGATGTCCTACAGGCAGTAAGTGGTTATAGTAGAAGTCATGTTTCTTTGTTAGTGTTTTTTCTAAGTACTTTGTTGGATTTTCCTGTATGCTACATGGTTGGAGAGGGCGCCACCATCACTCCCCCTGCGTCCAGCAACACAGATAGCAAGGAGACGCTGCATTGTTAGCCGGCGTTTGTCTTCAGCTCCAAGACTCCCCTGAGACAACCATTGGCAGTAAGTCTGCAGAGTGAGGCTGGTCTCGGGTGACGCTGGTCCTTAGAGCTTGAGAAGTCGTCTTCTTGTTGGCTGCGTTGTTGGATGGCGGTAGCTCTCCTCCTACAACACGCAGAAAGATGAAACGAAACACCCCAGTAGAAAGTCAGCTTCTTTAACCGCCTCCCACCTACAATATAAGGTAATGACGGGCGCAAGGCGGTTCTCTCGCTCTGAGAGGACATCATATAACGTCCTCCCACTGTAACCGCGCATGCGCAGCTGCGGGGGCGCCTCAGACACAGCGGATCACCGATCAACAGAAAGAGTCAACGATGTCGGCTCAATCATGTGATCAGTGTGCCCAATCACAGCTGATCGCATGTAAACAGGGAAATGCTGGTTATCTGCATTTCTCTCCACGAGCTGTCACGCTGACAGGAGAGGAGAGCCGGTAATCAGCATCCCTCAGAGGGGACATGTACACTGATGATCAGTGTAGCCCCAGCAGTGCCACCTGTCAGTGTCAGTGTCCACCAATGCCAGCTGCCAGTGCCCATCAGTGACACATCAATGCCACATACAGGGGCGGACTGACAACTCATTGGGCCCCCCGGGCAATAGGGGATCATGGGGCCCCTGTGTCCTTGCCCAAACTCAAAAAAGCCTATGAAAAAGGTACCAGGGGCATCTCATGGGGCCCCCTACTGACCCCGGGCCCTCGGGCAGTGCCCGCGTTTCCAAATGGTCAGTCCGCGGCCCCTGGCCACATATCAGTATCTACCAGTGCACATCAATGCCACTTATCAGTGCCCATCTGAGCTGCCTTTCAGTGCCACCTATCAGTGCTGCCAGTCAGTGCCACCTATCAGTGCCAGTCAGTGTCGCCTATCAGTGCCTGTCAGTGCCACCTATCACTGCCCACCAGTGCCACCTACCAGTGCCCATCACTGCAGCCTATCAGTGCCCATCACTGCAGCCTATCAGTGCCCATCAGTGCCACCTATCAGTGCCCATCACTGCAGCTTCATTAGCGCACATCATTGAAGGAGAAAAATCACTTATTTACAGAATTTTATAACAAAAACTAAGAAAAAAAAAAAACTTTTTTTTTCAAAGTTTTCAGTTGTTTTTGGTTTGTTTAGGAAAAAATAAAAAACCCCGAGATGATTAAATATCACCAAAAGAAAGCTCTATCTGTTGCAAAAAAAAATGATAAAAATTTCATATGTGTACAGTGTGTTGCATGACCGCGCAATTGTCATTCAAAGTGCAACAGCGCTGAAAGCTGAAAATTGCCCTGGGCAGGAAGGGGGTAGAAGTGCCCGGTAGGCAGGAAGGGGGTAGAAGTGCCCTGTAGGCAGGAAGGAAGGGGGTAGAAGTGCCCGGTAGGCAGGAAGGGGGTAGAAGTGCCCGGTAGGGGTTAAAGCCCCCTCCATACTTGGTGATTTGGAACCACCAGCACAGTCTCTGCGGTTCTGCCCGTGATTACAAATCGCCGCAAAACGCACAACGCATTTATCCTTAATAGAACCCGAAATGCAGGGATTGCTGCACGACAGAATAGCGTGGAAGAGTGAAGACGTAGCAGCCATGCTGGTTCATCCTCCTGTAGGGTATTCCTGGCTGCGTCTGTTTCCTCTTTGTAGTGAAATCTGTGGCATGGAGGCGGCGTGATCACACGCTCCATCTGGGATCACACGCTCCATCCGGGATCACACGCTCCGTCCGGGATCACACGCTCCGTCCGGGATCACACGCTCCGTCCGGGATCACACGCTCCGTCCGGGATCACATGCTCCATCCAGGATCACACGCTCCATCGTGGATCACACGCTCCATCCGGGATCACACGCTCCATCCGAGATCACACACAGCTGTGCTGTATATGTTGTATATTGTATCCGGGATCACACACTCCATCGAGGATCACACGTTCCATCCAGGATCACACGTTCCATCCGGGATCACACGTTCCATCCGGGATCACACGTTCCATCCGGGATCACACGCTCCATCTGGGATCACACGCTCCATCCGGGATCACACGTTCCACCCGGGATCACACGCTCCATCCGGAACCACACGCTGCATCCGGGATCACACGCTCCATCCGGGATCACATGCAGCTGTGCTGTATATGTTGTATATTGTATCCGGGATCATACGCTCCATCCGAGATCACACGCTCCATCCGGGATCACACGTTCCATCCGGGATCACACGCTCCATCCAGGATCACACGTTCCATCTGGGATCACACGCTCCATCCGGGATCACACGCTCTATCCGGGATCACACGCTCCATTCGGGATAACACGCTCCATCCGGGATCACACGCTCCATCCGGGATCACACACAGCTGTGCTGTATATGTTGTATATTGTATCCGGGATCATACGCTCCATCGAGGATCACACGTTCCATCCGGGACCACACGCTCCATCCGGGACCACACGCTCCATCCGGGACCACACGCTCTATCCGGGATCACACGCTCCATTCGGGATAAAACGCTCCATCCGGGATCACACGCTCCATCCAGGATCACACACAGCTGTGCTGTATATGTTGTATATTGTATCCGGGATCACACGCTCCATCGAGGATCACACGCTCCATCGGAGGATCACACGTTCCATCCGGGATCACACGTTCCATCCGGGATCACACGCTCCATCCGGCCTCACACGCTCCATCAGGGACCACACGCTCCATCCGGGACCACACGCTCCATCCGGGATCACACGCTCCATCCGGGATCACACGCTCCATCCGGGATCACACGCTCCATCTGGGATCACACGCTCCATCCGGGATCACACGCTCCATCCGGGATCACACGCTCCATCCGGGATCACACGCTCCATCCAGGATCACATGCAGCTGTGCTGTATATGTTGTATATTGTATCCGGGATCACACGCTCCATCCGGGATCACACGCTCCATCCGGGATCACACGCTCCATCCGGATCACACGTTCCATCCGGGATCACACGCAGCTGTGCTGTATATGTAGTATATTGTAGCTGGGATCACACGCTCCATCCGGAATCATGCGCAGCTGTGCTGTATATGTTGTATATTGTATCCGGGATCACACGCTCCATCCGGGATCACACGCTCCATCCGGGATCACACGTTCCATCCGGGATCACACGCAGCTGTGCTGTATATGTAGTATATTGTAGCTGGGATCACACGCTCCATCCGGAATCATGCGCAGCTGTGCTGTATATGTTGTATATTGTATCCGGGATCACACGCTCCATCCGGGATCACACGCTCCATCCGGGATCACACGCTCCATCCGGGATCACACGCTCCATCCGGGATCACACGTTCCATCCGGGATCACACGCAGCTGTGCAGTATATGTAGTATATTGTAGCCGGGATCACACGCTCCATCCGGGATCACACGCTCCATCCGGGATCACACGTTCCATCCGGGATCATGCGCAGCTGTGCTGTATATGTAGTATATTGTATCCGGGATCACACGCTCTGCATTGCATTTGTCTTTTATTTTCTCATGAAATCCCTTGCATGCCGTGTTCTGGTTTGGGTCGCACAGCGATCTCATTTGTGTTGCTAATTAATTGCAGACGCAAAACAAGCAAATTTAGGTACACAAAGATCCTTTTATCCCGGATGAAGAGTGATACACTGTATTCAACCAACACAATGGTTTGGCGGGGGAGGGGCATCTATTTCATTGGCAAGTGTTTGCCTTTGGGATCCAGAGGATAAATTGCTTTGAAGTGTGATACCCAGGAACAAATATTGGGGAAAACAATTGCTAACTGTAATCTATTTCCTTCTGCCCATAGTTATGATTTAAAAAATGTGAGCTGAAGGGGCAGCACAAAAGTACGGCAGGTTTTCCAATGTGATTCTTCAGCTGTTGAGGGACTTTAGGATTCCACCATGGCCAACCAGTCTTGATCAAGTTGCTGGATCCAACTCTTTAGCTGGCAGGTGGGAGATCTTAGTAAATGTTGGTTAGTCTAGGTTTGGCAGCTCCCCACAAAATGGGGGATCCCACCAAGAGATGGTTGTCACCTGGCTTGAGAAGTCTACTTATAATTAGTTCCAACATGGCCAACAAACCTTTTCCAGAAGTGGGTGTGAGGCGTTGGATTCAACTATTTAGCTGATGGGTGGGAGATCTTAGTAAAGCTGGATAGTCCGTGTTCAGAAACTCTCAACAAAATGCTTGTTCCTTCTCTAGAGATGGGGGGGGGGGTGGCTTGAGTCTACATATAATTGTTTCCAACATGGCCAACAAGTCTTTCCCAGAAGAAGTGAGAGCTGGATAGTTTAGGCTCAGCAGCTCTACACAAAATGGTGGTTCCTTCTCTAGAGATGGGGGGGGGGGGGGGGGGGTGGCCTGGCTTGAGTCTACATATAATTGTTTCCAACATGGCCAACAAGTCTTTGCCAGAAGAAGTGAGAGCTGGATAGTCTAGGCTCAGCAGCTCTACACAAAATGGTGGTTCCTTCTCTAGAGATGGGGGGGTGGCCTGTCTTGAGTCTACTTATAATTGTTTCCAACATGGCCAACAAGTCTTTCCCAGAAGAAGTGAGAGCTGGATAGTCTAGGCTCAGCAGCTCTACACAAAAGGGTGGTTCCTTCTCTAGAGATGAGGGGGAGTGGCTTGAGTCTACTTATAATTGTTTCCAACAAGGCCAACAAGTCTTTCCCAGAAGAAGTGAGAACTGGATAGTCTAGGCTCAGCAGCTCTACACAAAATGGTGGTTCCTTCTCTAGAGATGGGGGGGGGGGGGGGGGGGGGGGGGGGGGGGGGGGGGGGGGGGGTGGCCTGGCTTGAGTCTACTTATAATTGTTTCCAACAAGGCCAACAAGTCTTTCCCAGAAGAAGTGAGAACTGGATAGTCTAGGTTCGGCAGCTCCCCACAAAATGGCGGTTCATTCTCTAGAGATGGGGGGGGGGTGGCTTGAGTCTACCTATAATTGTTTCCAGCATGGCCAACAAGTCTTTTCCAGAAGAAGTTGAAAGCTGGATAGTCTAGGTTCGCCAGTTCCCTAACCCAACAGGCATGGGAGTCAAATGTCTTGAGTAGTCTATATATAATTGTTTCAAACACAGCGACCAGGTCTTTCCCAGAAAAAGTGGAGCTGAGATGCTAAATCCAAGAGTCTGAGTTTGGCAGCTCCACAAAAAATGGGGGTTCCCTGCTAGAGATGGAGGTCACCTGGCTTGAGAAGTCTACTGATAATTGGTTCCAGGATGGCCAACTAGTCTTTCCCAGAAGTGGAGTGAGGTGCTGGATTCAGCTCTTTAGCTGATAGGTGGGAGATCTTAGTAAACGTTGGATAGTCTGGATTCAGCAGCTACCCACAAAATGGGGGTTCCCCCCTAGAGATGAGGGTCACTTGGCTTAAAAAGTCTACTTATAATTGGTTCCAACATGGCCAACGAGTCTTTCCCAGAAGAAGTGAGAGCTGGATTGTCTAGGTTCGGCAGCTCCCCACAAAATGGCAGTTCCCAAACCCAACAGACATGTGAGTCAAATGTTTTGGCCAACGAGTCTTTACCAGAAGAAGTGGGTGTAAGGCCCTGGATCCAACTCTATAGCTGGTGGGTGCAAGATCTTAGTAAAGCTGGATAGTCTGTGTTAAGCAGCTCCCCACAAAATTCTGGTTCCTCCCTAGAGATGGGGGTCACGTAGCCTAAGAAGTCTGCTTATAATTGATTCCAGCATGGCCAACGAGTCTTTCCCATAAGAAGTGAGAGCTGGATAGTCTAGGTTCGGCAGCTCCCCACAAAATGGCGGTTCCCTAACCCAACAGGCATGGGAGTCAAATGTCTTGGCCAACGAGTCTTTCTCAGAAGAAGTGGTTGTGAGGCCCTGGATTCAACTCTTTAGCTGGATTCAGCAGCTCCCCACAAAATGGGGGTTACCTCCCTAGAGATGGGGGTCACCTGGCTTAGGAAGTCTACTTACAATTGGTTCCAACACGGGCAACGAGTCTTTCCCAAAATAAGTT